ATTTATGTTTGAAAAACAAACTTATCGTATGTGAATAACCATCACAATCCTTAAAAATCAGATCCTAGTCATAAAATTCAAAGACAGGCACACATTCTGGGAGCAGTTTTTCTTGGTATAATATTTGTGATGGTGCTCACTGTCTTACTATACTAATATAAATTGCTAACAGTTTCCTGGAAATCAAACCTGCAAACTAGAGAAAAAAAGGAACTAGAAAAAAGTGTCTTCGATATCCTACTTCTGAGTGCAAATAATGATTCGGGAGGTTTGAAAATTATTACATGAACAGGTAAAAGTGGTGAAATATTAACTGTAGAATCAAGCCAGTATTTCAACTTTACTGTTTTCTTGAGACTTTTCATGATAAAACGTTGGGAAAAAGTATTATTGACACCCTTCACTTGGGTATTAATATTCCCCAAAATTCATGGAATCCTACAGCTAGCTATAGCAGTAAGAGGTCTTGAAATAAAAATCAAGGAAACATCAAAATTAAATGGGGAAAGACATGACTCAATACACAACGATGGGGGAATTATTAAAAAAAAACCCCACTGAATTTTTTCCCCTTACACTTTACTTTTAGTTTGGTGAGCATGTGTGCATACGTGTACACACACACACACACACACACACACACACACACACACACTTTTTTTTTAATTAGAAGAGTATTTTCTAACTTCTGGGTGGGAAGGAATTCCTAAGCCCAAAGTAACATAGTAAGTCCCAAAGGAAAAAAAGACAAAAGTCATTTATCCAACTAAATAAAATGTAAAGATTCTGCATCTTAAAAACCCATAAGCAAAATTAAAAATTAGAGCCATTGAGAAAACTATTTGCCCCAAATATCTCACAGACACACCTGTACTCACACTCACACAACTCAAATAAATTATAGAAACAGACGCAACCCAAGAAGAGCCGATAATAAACATGAACTGAACATTTACAAAAGGAAACAATGTGTAATAAACATATGAGAAAGCTAAACTTTACTAGCAATTAAAAAATGCCACATGCCTGGCCCTAGCCAGTTTGGCTCAGTGGATAGAGCGTCAGCCTGCAGACCAATGCGTCCCGGGTTCGATTCTGATCAAGGACACATACCTTGGTTGCAGGCTCTTCCCTGGCCTGGCCCTGATTAGGACTTGTGCTGGAGGCAACCAATCGATGTGTTTCTCTCATATTAATATTCTCTCTCTCTCTCTCTCTCTCTCTCTCTCTCTCTCTCTCTCTCTCTCTCTCTCTCTCTCTCTCTCTGTCAATGGAAAAATATTCTCAGGTGAGGATTTTAAAAAAAGCCACCTGCCTGGCACAGAGTCGGTATTAATTAAATAGCTATAACATAAATGAACCAAAAATAATGTAATGTTTTTGTCTGAAGTTTTTTTTTTTTTTTTAAAGATAATATTCAATACTGATAGGCATTTCATACATTGCTATACAATGTGGATAATTTGGTACAAATTTTGCAGAAAACAATATGGCAAAAGTATCAAGAATCTTTTGAAAGTTAAGCTTTTTTGACTTAATGAATTCACTGCAAATAATCTATCCTCAGGAAGTTATGATTCCTGTTGTGAATCCTGCCTCCTTTACCACGTGTGTGTGTGTGTGTGTGTGTGTGTGTGTGTGGGCAGGAAATATTAGTAGGGCATTAAGTGGTGGGATCAGATATAATTTTTATTTCTTCTTTCTGCTATTCTTATTTTTAAAAAAGTGTTACTAGAAATGAGTTAGAAAAAAAATTAAAAATACGACATTAAAAGATTGACAGAGAGAGGGAGGGAGAGAGAGGAGAGAGGAGAGATAGAGAAACCTGCTATTCCCCCCATCTATGCATTTACTGACTGACTGTTGCATGTGCCCTCAATGGCAATGGAGATGGTCTTTCTTATCTATTAATCAAACCTGAAACCCCGATGAATCGGGTGGACACTCTAACCAACTGAGCTACCTGGCCAGGGCTGCTCATCTCTCTTGAATCTACTTCCAAAGGTGTCCCCATCGTTTCCCCGCTGTATGTGACGCGAGCAGCTTTCTTTACCTGGTCTCCTTACCTGGCCTGGCATGGCCCCTCATCCACCCCCACCCCAATTTGTTCTCTGCAAGGCACTGATCTTTCTGAGTGTGCTTCCTGCCACACTGGCTTCCCGGGGAGACATCTCCAGGCCAGCAAGCTGGGGTGTCAGACCTCTGTTATCAATGACCCCTCACTTCCTCTTCTTCCATCACCCCTTTTCCCACCGCCCCCTCCACCCTCACAGCTCTGCATAGGTGGCTCCTTCTGGCTGGCCCCTCAGCACAGTGCTTGCCTCCCTTCTCTCGCTGACCCGTGGCGCGAGCGCTGGCCTCTGGGAGTCAGGGACAGCACCACCATCAGGAAGCCTCCTGGATGGCAACCGGCGTGCTGCTTCTACGAGCTCATGGCACTGATCACACGTACGAACCTGCTGTGAATCCTGCCTCCTCTACCAGACTGTGAGCGCCAGGCAAAGAGGCCCTCCGTGTCTGCTGGACGAACCAATACATGTGTCTGCCATCCGAAACAGAATTACCTGGTCTTGTCCTGAAGGAGATCCCACCAGAGATTTCATCACTTCCCTCAGCCAGCCATGCATCTATCTTATCACCTTGGCAATGGAGATGGTCTTTCTTATCTATTAATCAGCCAGTAAATAAGTTTATTATGTACTTGATGTCCTCCAGTTCTACCTGAATCTATTTACTCCTGAGCCTATCAAATTCCAGCTGAGCCTATCACAGTGTCACCGAGGTCCCCACACGTCAGCCCTTTAAGTATTGCAATGGACAACAGCGTGGTGCTCACAGGGGGGCATTAGGGGGATAAATGGTGATGGATAGAGACTTGACTCGGGGTGGTGCACACACAATATGGTGTACAGATGTGGTGTAGAATTGTGTCCCTGAAACTTGTATCATATTGTTAACCAGTGTCACCCCAAATAAATTCAATAAAAAGGACAAAATACATTTAAAAAATAAAGTATCACAACCCACCGAAGGAAAGCAGGTCCCGTGTTGGGCCCAGGAATGTAAAGGTAAATCAGACCGTGACTGCCAACGGGAGGAAACCCGTCACCTCCTGCGGTCCACAGACTCCTTGCGCTATAAGGGCGTGTGGCTTTTCTGTGCCTGTGTGTCAGCTTCCACCGGCCCAAAATCTGCTTTCCAGTGGGACTCAAAGCGGACACAACAATGAGTCTGACTAATGCAAGTCTTATTCTCGTACCCTTTTATGTCACATTCCTTTCAATACACCCAAAATCATGTATATATTTTTCCACAACAGCAATCCAGTATTGACTTCAATTTAGTGGAAGGGCAATGAGAGCAACCATTTTTTAAAAACAGTGTTTTTTTTGTTTTTTTGTTTGTTTGTTGTTGTTTTTTTGTTGTTTTTTTTTTTTGTGTGTGTGTATGTATTTTTTTTTTTTTAAATACTCAATAGATGTATCTATTCCCACCAAATTTCTTCTGCTAATGGAGAATCAACTTCCCAGTTTGGTGCAATCTTATACATTATATTTCTGGAGCTCAGATGACTTGCTGACCTACCTAATTTGGTAACACACACAATGGGAAAGAAACAAGGAAGAAAAGCGAGTTCATTATGTGCACGAGGAGAACTCCCAGCTGCTGAACGCTGCGTCCGCAGGCCTCTGGGGACTTCACCGTGTGCTTCGAAGTACATGTGGTGGGATGCTGAGGATCCTGGGGTCTCTGCTTGGAGGTGCTGTGATATTAGCTACTATCTCCATTTCATATTAGTCACGCCCTTCCTCCGTGTCCCCGGCTCTGTCCTCCCACCTAGCAACCACAGAGAACGCTTCCTTCTGACTTGGATGCCTCTCCTTGCAGATCGGAGTGTTTCCTGGGACCCGAAAGAAAAGCACAGTCTCTGGGTACTGCCTCGGTTTAGGCTGGAGGCCTCAGGCGAGCTTCCCTGAGGCTGAGAATGCCCAACAAGCAGGCGAATGTGGGTGTCTGGGGGTGGCTTCCGCACAGTCTCACAGGGGCCTGACACCCCCCCCCCCCCCCCCGCAAAAGGTTAAGAGCTCGATTTAGGCTGGAGTCCCTACCTCAGAGCACTCAGACCTGAGGCGGTAAATGGAATAAACATCACCAGCACGACTGACCCTTTCTATTCAGTCATCCCCAAGAGAACAAGAAATCCTGTAGTCATCACACACGAAACACCTTTTGCATCAATGAAGTATGTAACTAGAGGGGTGATCTGGATGGTCCAGCAAATATAAAATCATACTGAGGGTAATAATGCAACACTTCAAATAACTATCAATCACTTCAAATATCTTAGTGTCTGCTTTTAGCCAGATTCAATATATTTTTCCTTGACCTTTTTCCACACCTTTAGCTTATCTGGTAACATTGATTTAAAACCAAAACATTATGAATCAAAAGTCCCTCTGCACATGAATAGTATGAGCCTCACACATATGCCTTTCATGTAACTATTAGTAATCATATTATTTTTGTTAGACTATACTGTTACCTTCCATATTTGTGTTTTAAATAACATTATACAAAATCACTTCATATAAATGTCAAAATCAAAGCTGCCTTCACGTCAACACGCCACCAAAAAAATAGCAAAACATATCTTACCCCTTCGCTTTCATTGCTGCCTGTGTTGTGTTGTTTTTTTATAATTATCACCACGCCCAGAGTATTTACACAGTTAAATAAAAAATGTCCTTCACAGCTTTCTTTTGATGAGATGCCATTTACAGAAATTTAAAAGTAAGAACCGGTGGAAATCAGAAATCGCTGCCATCCATACTCACCACCGAGACGCACACAGAGGGGCCCGGGCGCGGGCGGGAGGAAGCAGTATGTTCATTCGGAGAGCAGCGAGCAGAGACAGCGAGTGGCCACCCCGCTGGCCTCCAGCTCATCCTCTCTGCAGACACACGGATTCTGGAATCCTCCAGGACTCACAATGAAAACCACTAGGTTGTTTTCTCAATTCCTATGAAATGAGTCAGTAGGTCACACAGCGTCTCCACTCTGGAGACAACAATCCCGAAGCCGCACTCACTGTTTCCAGTCAGTAACCGTTCCTTCCTCGGCCCCCTGGCTGACGTGCTGCCCACAGCCCAGCCCCCAGGGGTCTGCATGAGACAGAACTCCCTGGCAGGTCCCACCAGGTTAGTCCTCTCCACGGAAGACTTCCCTGTGAAGGTTTTAGAAGGGGGGTGGGGGGAAGTAATCCAGATGGAAGTTTCTTCATCTAAAAAGAGTTGGCATAACTATTTTTTTGTTGAGACCATGTAGTCATTTCTTTCTTTCACATAAAGGGAGAGAATGATACTTCAACATAGAAGAGCAGTAACTGTACTTGTAAAAGCCCTGTTCTTCCCCCTTTCCCCCCCTCCCTCCGCCAAAAGGACTAATATATTCAAAAGATTCCAGGACTAGTCAATTAATCCACGTTCTGAAAATCCCGTCCCAGCTTCTGTGAGCCCTGCGGTTCCATCATTAAATCATGCAAAGCAGAACACTGAGGAGCCTGCCAGCAGTCCTCGGAACCCACAGCTCAAGGCGACGAATGCCAGGTTAGCAACAGTCTCAGCCTCTACCTCCCACTCACCGCGTGGAGCGTCTCTCGTAGCCAGTGACCTTCTGCACAGGAAATCGCCGGCTACCAGCAAAGAATCCATAATTCCAAGAACGCACGCAAATAAATACATATATATTCCGGCAAATACATGGGCACGTCTCTCAACAAAGACCCAGAGGTCCCCCGTGACACGGCTCCTCGGCAGGACGCTGGGAACACTTTTGCTTTCTGTCTGGCCAGTACTTTCTTTCTTTTTAAAGAGGAGGTTTCGTTTTGATCTTGAGAAATTCTCCTCTGATAAAACCACCAACTGAAAACCTGCCATTATAAACGAGGGATTTCACAACAGTCATTCCAAAAAACTGCGGCTATTCATTTCTGGAAGTGATTCATTGCAAAAGAATCGTTGTTGGCGGTGGGGCGAGCATTACTTTTTAGAAGGCAGCCGGGCCTCTGAGAAGTGAGCAAAAACCTCAGAGAGGGCAGCCACGTGCCCCCGGACCCCATTGGGGCTCCTGAATCACCGTCTCCAGATCACACGCCATGACCCATTTCCTCTGACTTCCTCGGCCCCGATGCCCCGGAGTAAATCCTCGGTGGGGGGGGGGGGGTCAGAGAAATCGGGGCGGGCTGCAGCCCCATTCTCCACCTGTCAACGCTCGGTTACTGGCGAGGAACCAGCATGTGGATACTCACTTCCTGTGAGTATTTCTAAAAGAGCTTATGATATTTCCTTTTTTTGGGGGGTGGGGGTGGGGGGAGAGAAAGCAGCACAGCGAGGAAAGTAACCCCAACAAGCAAAGCTAAAGGCATGCAGCGTGCTCACTGCTCGCCTGCCACGCCCAATTTTAATTTGGTTTCTCAGCCCCGTGTAATTAAGACAGCCAAAGGAGACGGCATCAGAGAAAGGGGATAAAAAAGACATTTCACAAATGCCTAGACCTTCAGAGCGCGTGACCAGAAAAGTAATTTTAAGATTCAAGTGAACCAGTCTGAAGCTGGTTCGAGTGTTAACCCTTCAGGGAGAGAGAAAGAGTTACTCGTATTTATCTCCAAATTTCAAAGATGGAAATCGCCTTCCCTGCTGGGCACCGAGACAGGGGAGACACGGGTGCTGAGCACCGCCGGGGCGGGGGTGGGGGAGGGGTGAGGAGGGGGTGTGTGAGAAGACCTGGTCCAGGTCTCTGTGATGGGGGGAGGGGGAGGAGAATAACACTACTGCTAAGGCCCTGTCACATTCACAGAACGGCATCTGGCTTTCACACCAAAGCACGCTTTGAAAACTGGCCGTGAAGAGCTAGAGGGTGACCTTTAGGATTTCTCTTGGCGTTAGCCGCACCTGGTCATTTACATCAGAGGAGAGTAGAATGTCTTGACAGCTGGGCAAAGTGAGTAAGAGAAATCGCTTTTATCCCACCCCAAAGAGTACGGAAGGTGCCAGAGCTCCTTCTCTGAAGGGACTAAGAGACATTTTGCTGACAGAGAAGCTTTAAAAAAGCCTGTCCTTCATTTGGGCTTGGGGCTGTGCCTTCTCCAGGGGGTGGGGGGGATGGTGGGAGGGTGAGGGCTAGGGACCACCAGCCTCTCTGAGCCCCCCTCACCATCAGTGATAAACAGACTGACATTCACACATCTACCTATTGGACCCTCTCAGCAACCCTGCCAGCTGCATTCTACTCTTCCTCCCCATCCCGCAGATAAGGAAACTGAGCTCCTGGGAGTTTAAGGACTTGGCCAGGGACACGTAATCAGCAGGCAGTGGAGCCAGCACACTCAGCCAGGGAGCTTGACCTTGACCACCCTGCCTGAAGCCTTCCATGAGCAGGTGTGCCGGTCTCACCCAGCTGGGGTGCCTGGTAAGTTAAACAGCACATAGGAAACTGCCTTGAAAACCACACAGGAGCCCAGCTGGTGGGGCTCCGCGGCTGAGAGTCAACCTATGAACGAGGAGGTGACCGTTTGATTCCCAACATGCCCAGGTTGAGAGACTCAATTCCCAGTGGGGTGTGCGTAGGAGGCAGCTGATTGACAATTCCCTCTCATCTATGATGTCCCCCTCTCTCTGAAATGAATAAAAACATATTTATAATAATACACACACACACACACACACACACACACACACACACAAGAGGCAGGATTATAATCATGCCAGACACAAATATATTCTTTGCAGAATTTAGAGAAAGTTAATGATAATTAAGCACTTGTCACACTAACACTAGTTTGTTTTCTGAAAACAGCTTCTCATAATTTGCAAACTGCTTGTTTGCAAAACTTGATATTGAGTTTTGGAGGGAGAGGGGATTTGAGGCCTTCTTTTCAGGCGGGGTGGTTAAGTGAGGCTCGAGGTCAGAGTTAAATTTGAACCTTTAACCTGTAGCTCCCAGGGGAACACTGACTCACTGCCCACAGGCTCACAAGGGCTGCTGTGGGGCAGTTCCCAGGCAATTTAACCTGTCAGGCCTCCATCCATCCATGCGACGCATGCATGTGTAATATTAGTCCTCACAACGATGGTCTCTTAATACTTTCCTCTCACTTCAAGTTCCTCTGGCTTTAAGAAGATAGAAAGATGAGGGAAAAACCTGTTTTCCCATTTTTTAATTTTTTTTTTTTTTAATTAGGGAAAAACAAAGCTACTAAAGTTCTGGTTATGATAAACCTAACTCAAGTTCTACCCAATTCTCTCTTTTTTCTTTAAACTTGCTCATATGTAAACTTTGTGATGTTAAAAAAAAAAAAAAAAAAAAACCCACACAAAACTGTCTTTCCTGTGTGATCATTCATTCCTTTTATTTTTATTAGGGTGTAGCTGATGCCACTTGCTTATTGAATATGGCTACCAGAGTAAGTGGAAGTTGGGGGAGTCCTCAGGTTTTGTGTGGTTTTTTAAAATATATTTTTATTGACTTCAGAGAGGAAGGGAGAGGGAGATAGAGATAAGAGAGATCAACGATGAGAGAGAGTCATTGACCGGCTGCCTCCTGCATGCCCCACGCTAGGGTATTGAGTCTGAAACCTGGACATGTGCCCTCCTGGTTCATAGGTTGACGCTCAACCACTGAGCCATGCTGGCTGGGAACTCTCAGTTTTTAAAAAAATATATTTTATTGATTTTTTACAGAGAGGAAGGGAGAGAGATAGAGAGCTAGAAACGTCGATGAAGGAGAAACATCGACCAGCTGCCTCTTGCACACCCTCTACCGGGGATGTGCCCGCAACCAATGTACATGCCCTTGACCGGAATCGAACCTGGGACCTTTCAGTCCACAGACCCACGCTCTACCACTGAGCCTAACCGGTTTCGGCAGAACTCTCAGTTTTGAGGGTAAATGATGATATGGCAACTAACTTTTAAGAAAAGTCATTTTGATAGAAGAGGAGGGGTGTGTGTGTGTGTGTGTGTGTGTGTGTGTGTGTGTGTGTGAGAGAGAGAGAGAGAGAGAGAGAGAGAGAGAGAGAGAGAGCGCGAGCGCAACACCAATCAGATTCCTCCTGCATACCCTGCAACCCAGCATGTGCCCTGGTCAGGAATCAAACAGGCAACCTTTTGGTGCACAGGATGACACTACAACCAACTGAGCCACCCTGGCCAGGGCTGGCCATTGAGTCTTCAAGGAAGATGTAATTTCCTATGTATTATAGGAGCTTTAAGCTTTTCATGCTATTCATTCCATAAAGTCTGGCCTTGCTAGTTTCACTTAAGAGTTTTGTTTTTTTTTTAATGGTTCTCCATCACATTGGGTCACATCAACCTGAAAATATCTTTCCCCAAAATAAAGACATTTGTTGACAATAAAAGTCAAGCGGGGAAAGAAGTTAAGACCACATTATGGTTTTATTTCCACTTAAGAGAGCAAAGATTCTAGGAAACTGATGTACGTTAAATTTATAAGCCGGCTCTTTTTTCCTCCCCGAAGATTTATTTGGCGTGAAACGTTACTTCCTGTACCGTATCATGAAAGCAAAAGTTATTTACTCTTGTCATGACCATTCATACTTCCTGTCATAAAAACCTGAATTTGGCTGGAATATTAAAGATCACCTGCAAAAACCTATAGGGAGGAAGTGACTGCATGGATATACGTTATTTTAAGTTCACATCCCAATCTGACAAAGGGACAGACCATCCCTTTTTGGAGAGGCCAGTATTAGGCTTTATCACCTCGGGGGACTAGCCCCACTTACGGCCTGCAGAATGCGCTAGAGGGCAATAAGAGCTTTCTGCGTTTACTGAGCTCAGTCCATGGTTTGATGGCAGCCCCCAGGGTACCTCCCAGGGGTGCTGTGTATGTGCTGAGCTGCAGTGTAACTACAGAGTATCTACGGCCTAGGGTTGAAATTGTGAAGATTCAGAAACTGACGCAGGGTAGGCAGAGGGGCTTGTTGTAAATGCATGTGGGCGTTTGCCTCTGGTGCCTGCACACGTCTGAGAGCAAACAAGCCTCCATACTCCCAGGCTTCTGTGTGTGTGCTGGGAGTGCTGAGCCAGGGTAACATACAGGGAGAGAAGACAATGTGCGTGAACAGATTTGTTTGCAAAGCAGGCCTAGCAAAGTCTGTCTCTCGGTGCAGGACCCATCCAACAAAACAAACACGCAAACACAGAATCTATGGAAATGGCGCTCCTTTCTGACAAGGTGTAAGGGGCTGTGATGATAGGCCAGAAGGTACAATAGCCAAGTTAATTTATTCAGCACTGCCATCTTCTGTTAATCCTTCATACTAGTATTTCCAATTGGACAGTGAGGTCATTTAAACTCAGTAGGAGAGAACAAAACCAACGCAGCCTACTTCCTTTAGTTTAACTAATTATATGGCCATCTGACCAGGCTTGGGAGTTGGGACCCTGACTCCTTTCCTTACTGAACAGAGCTGAGCCAGTCGTCACCGATCTGACCAGCACCTTTCTCAGTGACAGCTGCCTCTGTCCGCTCTCTCCCATTCCCGCCTCCAATGAACACTGTTCCCCCACAAGTATAAAGGCCTTTTTAATTGGTTAACTTGCCAGCGAGCAACCGTGTAGTGGAAAAATACAGGGACTCGGCTCTGCCAGACACAAACCATGAGATCCAGAGAACGTTATGTAATTTTCTTGGGTCTTAGTGTTCTCATCTATAGCATGAAGAAAACAGCTATCAAATTATGTGATCTAATCCTTGGTGTACACAATCATCAAACATAATCTTGTGAAATTTAGTCTCCTTGGGTCACTGCACACCTTAAAAAAGCTTCAGTGACTTTGTTAAAATTTAAGTTCTTCTGCTGAATTAAATGGGAATGTCTCATATGAAGTGAAAGGCACCACAGAAATACAATAGC